TTGCCAGCAATTTGTTTAATCAATCTTTCATGCAGTAATCATACAGCATCAAAATTATTACTGTGATTTTCTATTGTGAATTCTTCTTTCAGTTCAATTTTAAAACCATATATTTCATAGCTTAAAAAAAATCAGGTACAGGTTCCTAAAAAAGTCTTTTTTTTCTGGAGTTAAGCAAACAAAGAAAAAAAAATGGGGCTTTTTCAAGTTGTCAAGTAAAATTACATCACGAGTTGAAATTAGAGCCGTCATTACAGTGTTTTATTCTGATCAGCAGAAATTGGTTGGACCACGAATAGCAGTTTTGTAAGAACACGGTTGTTGACAATAAGACTAAACTAGAAAATATATAAGTTCTGTAAAGGCTGGTACAAAATTCTAGAATAATTTTTGTTTGAATACTGATGACAAGAGTAAACTAGGAAATAAAGGAGTTTGGCACAGACTTCTGCAAAAATTTATTGCCCCACCGCTGGTGATAGATGTTACTCATAAGAAAGACAACTGTGTTTTAAAAAATTTGCATAAAAAAAGCTTAACTTCAAAATTTTGCGCACTTAAGCAACTCATGGTTTTAAGATTTGACACAGTCGAACTTAGTTAATGAACGGTAAATTTATGGTTGTTAATGTGAAGCAAATATCTGAAAGTACCAGTTGATTGACTTAACCTATTGCTGGTTATTGTTCAGTTGTAGCTTAAGATCAAAAATTGGTGAGGTATACGCAAAGAACTGTGATGGAACTTAATTTATAAGTTGACCTTGAGCACAAACTACACCACTTCTGTTCGATATGCAAATTCGAGAGAAGTGAATGAATGCAGTCGACTTAATTGTTCAATTTTTTTTTTCACTGAAAAAAAAAAATGTTTTTTTGATTTTTTGGTCTAAAGAATGACAATAAAAGAGACCAAAGTTTTCTTCATCAAATCTTTTTTTTTTTCAAGATTTATAATTTGATTTACTGTAATTGCATCAAAAAAAAATTTAGCAACCTGTTTCAAAAAAGAACTTTTCTTTGTTTTTTTTCGTTTTTCTTTTTTTTCCAAATTTTCTTCTTTTTTTTACATTAAAATCGTTCAATTTATTGATTTTATCAGCATAACTTTTTTTTTTTTGCAATAATTCTATCTAAAGTTCGTTTTTTGCCATTTTCTTGCTTTTTATAACACTAATGAGAAAAAAGTTTGAAAAATATTTATCTAATATTATACAATTGTTTAGAAACAATTTCTTATTTTTGTTTTAAATGCTTTTTATTGCATCTGATTAATAAAAATTTGCTACAGTTACTTCATGATACGTTATCAGTCATGAATTTAGTTATCTGCCAGATAAATTTCAACAACTTTCATTTTGCTTAACTGCAAACTATTCCAGTTTTTTCTTTGCCTTCTGCCTTAGTTTCTGATAAAACAAAAAGATGAAAAAGAAAAGATAATTTAACAAAATAAAACTATGACTGCTGAAAGAAAAACGAAAAAGTTACCCAACAGACATTATAAATTACGAAACTTATAGATATCAGTCAAGATTATTAGTTATAATAGAAAATTGTTTATTGCTTAATTGCAACAAATTTAATCAGAAAATTACCTTCTTTCACTTACTGATGAAGCAGTAAACAGGATAAGTGGAGCAACTATAAATTGCAGAGAGCAATCAGCGACCGTACAGCTCAAATTAAACAGAAAATATCAAAGCTTTGTGAACGGTATTGATTATTACGGAGCTGTGCCTTAAGTTTTTTTCTCCGTTAATAAATAGTTCAAAAAACTTCTGAAAAATCCTCTTTATCCCGACTATCATCTAGCACCCAACATTTATCAACAAAAAATACCTTTGAATAAAACAACAAAAATAACGCAACATATAATTTAAAAAAAAAAAAAAAAAA